AGGGGGAGGGGAGGGGGAGGGGCGCGGATGAGGCACGTACGGTGGAAGGGCGCCTGGCGCGCGATGACGCGGAGGCTCTGAGGCCCATGCGGCTCCGCGCCGCATATCCCTGAGCTGGCGCCGCTCCGACACACACACACGCCCACGGGCCTCAACCGCGCCTGCCCACCTGGTGGAAACACGGCCGGCCGAAGGAGCAAAGAGTAGATAAATATAATATATAAATAATTAAGTAAGTCTATAAAATATAATAATATATAATAAATAATACATATTATAATAAAATATATTGTATAATAGATATAATAATAGTAAATAAGTAATAGTATAAATAAATATAGAAAATAGGAATAGATAAGTAAATAACTTTCGATTGATTGGTGATCTGGGTTTCCAATTGCAATACTATTTCTCCGTAAGCCTAGTGCGTATTTTTGAACTGGGAGGTGGCGGCGATATTTCCGGCCGCTCGGTGGGGAGACTCGGACTGTCCGTTTGTGGGATTTTCCCAACAAATAAACTCCCACCAGTGGGTCACCGCTCCAGCTCCGGGACATGCTCTTAGCTTCTGGCAGCTGGTCCTCTAGGCATGTAGTGCCTGTAGTGTGTGGCTGTTATGGTAGTGCCTGTAAAGGTAAGGTGTATAGTGGTCTACAGTTCACAATGTTCGAACTACTGAAGATTGCTGTTTAAATTTTGGCACAAACTGTTTGAATAACTGACAATAAATTAGGGGGTTCGCACACTCAAAATGTTACTTTAACTTAGTTTTTATTGCACGAATTGTCGAGTACTTGCTGCTGGAAATGTGCTGATCAGGATCTCAGGCGAGTTTTAATTTGTAAGTTAAGAACGGCCACTTACTCAGAAGTTGGTCCAAATTGAAAATATATTCCATACAATATAATGTGTATGTAGTTAATAAAATTCGAAGACAGTTTTCAACTGAAAACAAAAACAAAAATTATTCATCTTTCAGAGAGTAAAAAAATAACAGTATATTAACAGTGACCCACTCAAT